TGGAAAAAGTTTTATAGAATGTGATTCACTGTACTTAGTTTAGACAACTACTAAACATGTTGATCCCACTTGTTGATAATGATTAATAATAGCAAACCTGTATATGTGGATTTTTACTTTTATATTCCCACTGTGACCTCATTACCACACACTTTTTAATTGTATGTCTGGATATGTATTACTCCTATATTCCACAGTGTAAAATTGGCCAAATTTTTGCCAGTTATTGTTTTTAGTAGTTACTCTACTTTTAGGTTCTATATCAGTTAAAATCAAATTATATATATACACACTCACACAATATATGAACAAAGATTTGTTATAGTTGTAATTTCCACTGTTATATATTTAAACTAGTACTTCTGTAGAATATCTTTGAAGATGACATATAACCTTCAAATATAAGGCTATGCTTTTACTGAAAAATAGTATTAATTATAAGCTGTTCATTTTTAATGAATAATTTTTTAATAAATTACAAACAGCTAAATGTCTCACAGTAGAGAAATGGTAAAATATATTATGACAAGTATATCCTTTTTTGGAGGAAGATGTGACATTATGCTTCTGTAAAGATTATAGCTTTGGAAACCCGATGGGGTAGTTCTACTCTGTCCTATATAGTCGTTATGAGTCAGAATTGACTCAACTGCAACAGGTTTTTTTCCTTTATCATGGAACAATATGCAACAGGGATTCTTAATGATAGAACAAAATACATAGTTATCATATATAATGAAAAGATAAGATACACCTATTGCTGTTAAGTTGATTCCAACTCATAGTGATCCTACATGTGTCACTGTGCTTCATAGTGTTTTCAAGGCTAATTTTTTTAAGTAGATCATTAGGTCTTTCTTCTGAGGAACCTCTTGGTGGCCTTGAACCACCAACCTTTTGATTGGCTGTTGAGTGTATTAACCATTTGCATCATCTGGGACTCCATGTTAATTTTTAATTTTTTTTCTCCCTGTAGAACAAAGAGATAATCAAGTTGTCTTTTCAGTGATTAGTTTTATATGGTAGAAGTATATGCAATTTTAATCTTTTGTTTATTCTTTTCTGTTTTTCTTAAGATTTCTATGAAGAGAGGTATTTGATATAATTAGAAAAACAGCTGGTTTTTAGAAAGCAGCGTTTACTCTGTTACAGGGTTAAACTATTTTGAAGCTGTTGTTTACTTTACCAGACATTAATTTGTCCTGTGTTCTTGCATTTATTTCACAAAAACAAAGTATATTCTATATGTCCCTTTAGTATTAGAGTAAATTATATTTCTTTTAAAGGAAACTGAAGGTTAAAATTCCAACCAGAGCATTTCAATAATATGTTTAGTTTAAATAAAGAAAGGATAAAAAATTGGGATGTAAAAATTTTGTATTTGAGTTTTTATTAATTACTTAAGGATTTATCTTGCTTTTAATTGAATTCTGAATTTTTATTAAAATTCTTGGTTGCTCTCTGTCTTCCAGATTAGGCTGATTTGTATAGTTAAAAAAGAAAATAATCCTTAAATTCAGCTTACATTCCTTTCAAGCAATTTTATTTTATTTCTTAAATTTTTATTTTGTTATAAGAGCAAATAATTTGGTCTGTTATTTTAGAGACTTAACAACGTGGTTGCCAGAGTATTTTAATTCAGTCTGTTCTTAAGGTTGATAAGTTATATTTTCTTTAGTTGTTCTGGTGTTTTTGAAATGAGCATGACTACAGATTGCTGTAATAGATAAGTTCAGAAAGTAAATCATGCCCCTATTGTTAAACCTACCATATTGTTTGAAATCTTGTTTTTCAAAGATCAGTTTTCTGGCATCGTTAAGCAAAAATGGCTCTACACTTGGAAAAAAATAATTAGAAAACCTCTTACACTACAGGCCATCCCTGGGATATGAACATCTGACTTAAGGACAACTTCTACCCACTGCCACTGAATTGATTCCTACTTACAGTGACCTGAAAGGATAGAGTAGAAGTACCCCATAGATTTTTCAAGGGTATAAATCTTTATAGAAACAGACAACCTTATCTTCCCCTGGAGCAACGGGATGGGTTCAAACTGCCAATCTTTTGGTTGGCAGTCAAATGCTTTAACCACTGTGCTACCAGAGCTCAAGACAACTCCTCCTTGCCCCTTAATGTTATGTAAATTGCCTTCACTTTGAAATGATTAAACCAGTCCCTACTCACAACTAATTCTTTATCACTATCAACTTCATTTGCTGCATATGCAGCTTTTAAATCATTGAAAAGCTTTGCACCTTTTCTTGCACTAAACAAACAAAAACAAACCCAAACCCACTGCCATTAAGTTGATTATAACTCATAGTGACCCAATAAGACAGAGTAGAACTGCCCCATATGGTTTCTAAGGCTGGTGGCACAGTGCCTAAGGCATTTGACTGCTAACCAGAAGGTTGGCAGTTCAAACCCACCAGCCACTCCTTGGAAGGAAGAGTGGGCAGTCTACTTCTGTAGAGATACTGCCTTGGAAGCTCACAGAGGTGTCGCTCTGAGTCAGAACTGACTCGATGGCAGTGAGTTTGGTTTTTGGTTTTTAAATCTTTACAGCAGTAGACAGTTCCATCTTCCTCCTGCAGAGCAATTTTGCACTGAAGTAAAGCTAAAAAAAAAAAAAAACTGTATGTACCTGTTTTGACCTACCTATAAATTAGACAAGGAGCTCTGGTAGCATAGTGCCTAAGGCATTTGACTGCTAACCAGAAGGCTGGCGGTTCAAATCCACCAGGCACTCCTTGGAAGGATGGTTGGGCAATCCTACTTCCGTAGTGATACTGCCTCGAAAACCCAAGGAGGGGTCGCTATGAGTTGGGGCCGACTCGATGGCAAATAACAACAATAACAACAACGTAAATTAGACTTAATGACACACTTAGGAATGAATAATCTAGGGAGTGTGTAACATAGTGAAAACAGCAAAGAAGAATTCTTAAGAGAACACCTTATGTAGTATTTATGGAAAATGTAATATTATATCAACTAACATGTCAGTTAAAAGAGACAGAATAGTTAAATCAAACTAGTTAAAACAATGAAAGAAATGTATTGGCATGGATATCTAAGAGTGAGTTGAGTTTCAGGCCTAGTTTAATTCTGGCTTTTTAGCTCATATTCTTTAATAATTCACTTCTACCTTCCTCTTTGTGTTTGGGTAATCTTTAGACTGACCCAGTCTCATTGTCGCAAAATGACTGGAACAGTCATTGGTCTGCCATATCTATTCAGCATACCCTCTAGAACAAGAAAACATTCTTCTTCACCAAATAAAAGTCTTTGACTTCAATTGGCTTGGACCAGTTTCATTCACACGCTTAATCATTGTGGTCAAAAAAATGCCATGGTTTAATTGTGAATAGTATTCTTATCTCTGAAGTAGACATGGAGGCAAGGTAGTTGGAAGTACATTGTTGAGCTATTTACAACTCATACCTGGAATGTGTTCTCAATTCTACTCAAATTGTATAGCTGCTATACCATGGGAGAGGTGGAGAATAGATGGTAGGGAAAGGGAAAGACCATGTCCACCATCATGGTCTTTTTATAAGAAAAAAAAGAAAAGCAGCAAGAAAGGAGATGAGAAGAAAAAGCTTTGAGGAAAGTAGGCTCATCAAAGATAAAGACAGTATTAAGGATTAAAAGCAGCAGTGGTGGGAGGTAGCAAGCAGCAAATCTATGATAATAGAAGAAATTAATGATCAGTGAGGAAAGTGAAAAACAAAACTGTATCCATAGACACTTTGATATCTGAGCTCTTGAGGGCACAGAATCTTTGGTGAATACTGTATGAGTTATTGGATTACTCAGAGTGCTTACAGCTCCAAATAACAGGAAACACAATTCAGAGTGTCTTAATTAAGTAGATTTATTGGCTCAGATGACAGAAAAATATCCAGAGATAGCCTGTAGGTCCTTGATAGGTTAATAATGTCATCAGGCCTTGGCTTTGCTTCTGTGCAGTTATTTCAGTATGTCTTCTGTTTCCATGTGCTGATTGGGCTAGCTTACATCTTTATTCTGTCTTTGGAGGCCTTAAGTTGGAGTCTGCTTCCCTTAAACCACGTGGATCCTTGAAGAGAAGTCAAAGGCTTTGAGTATGGGTATAATACATTAAGAGAATGTAATCTTGAATGTTAAAGTAGGTAAATAGCCTCTTAATTCTTATCATCCCACAAAACACTAATTTACATAAATATACTCTTCATACATCTAGCTTTTATATTTGTTGAGCACCTCCTTACATCCTGGACACTATTCTAGACATTAGGATTGCAGTATCTCTCATGGACTTGACATTATAGTGAAAGGAAACCTAGAATAAACAAACAGATCATTTTAGATAGCTATAAATGTTATTTTAAAAATGGATAATGGGATAGAGTTGCTGGAGGAGAATTAGGGAAAGTCTTTTTGATGAGGTGACATTTATGCCAGAACTTGAGTGATGAGAAGGAACTAGTATGCAAAGATTCAAGGGGAAGAGCATTCAGGGCAGAGGAAACAGCAAAGTAGCATTGATTTTGAAATGTTAGAACAGAAAGAAAATCAGAATGTCTAGAAATTAGTGAATGAGAGACAGAAGGTATAAGATGAGAAGTGGACAGGGGCTGGAGATGATAAGGAATGTGGACTTTTTTCTTAGGCACATCAATTGATAAGATTCTCTGATAGGCAAGTTACAGTCTGTTTAATATAAATTATAAAGAAGTTAGAGAAATATGCAATATGTTTTAGGATGATTTCCATTTATAAAATCAATTAAAATACATGCGCTGTATTCCTAAGTGGTAGAGTGAACTAAGTTTTCCTGAGCAGTTCTTTTTCACAAGTCACCTTTGTTGTGCAATAAAAGATAAGTAGAAATTCTGATGTACATGATTTTAGCTCATTTATGATCATAAAAGTTACATGCACAGAATTCAGTTTTTGGAACTTTAGGTACAAGATATTTTAAATCCTTTAAAAACAATCCTGTTTTTTTCTAGGCAACGTTAAATATCATTCATAGTGTTGTTCTCTCAGTTCTTGACAAAAACCAAAGGACTAGAGAATTGGAGGAAGTTTCACAACAAAAGAATGCTTCAAAAGACAATTCATTGGACACAGAAGTGGCTTATTTAATCCATGAAGGCATGTTTATAAGTGATGCTTTCTCAGAGGGTGAATTGACATCTGTAGCAGTCGACAGTACCTCTCACAGAAATGCATCTCCAAATAGTGAGCCCTGCAGCAGTGATTCAGTATCTGAACCAGAATGTACTACTGATTCTTCATCCAGCAAGGAGCAGACATCATCATCCATTACTCCAGGAGGTGTGGATATGATGTGAGTATAAAACCTACTGCTAAATTTATTGATGAGATTTTGCATCATTTTATTAATAGTTTCAATAAAGTTGATTATTCATTGTGTTGGGGAAAACAATCATGTAAACTTTGGTCTTAGAATTTAACAAGAATATATCAACTTCACAGAACATGATCTTTTTTTATTTTTGAAAATGTATGAGCAGTAAGGACGTAAGTATTAGATGTGATTGGGATTTGTGAAATTGATTGTTGTATATAGTATGAGTTTCTTTTTTCCAAATATGGAAATTCATTTTATTCGATACTGTTTATTAAAAAGGGTGTTTTATTCATTGTTCTGTAGTGACAGCCTTGTTGTAAATCAAATATTTATTTTTGTGTGCCTCTGTTTCTGTACCATTGTTCACTTGTCTGTCAGTGCACAAGTACCTTAAGTAAAATTGTCTTAGTTACTATAGTTTATTTTCTTTTTAATTGTGGCAAAACATACTATACAATTTGCCATGTTAACCATTTTAAAGTATGCAATTCAGTGTCATTAATTACATTTACCATGTTTTGCAACTATCACCATGTCTATTTCCAAAAGTTTTTATCACCCCAAAAAGAAACTCAGTACCCCTTACGCAAAAAATCCCCATTCCCTCCTCCCTACACCCCCCTAGTCCCTGGTAACCACTAATAAACTTTTTTCTAGATGTTTCATACAAGTGGTATCATACAATATTTTTCCTTTTGTGTATGACTTATTTCCCTCAGCATAATGTTTTGTTAGATTCATCTGTGTCCTAGTGTGTAGCAGATTTTTCTTCATGGCTGAATAATTCCATTGTATGGATATGCCACACTTCATTTATCTATTCATCTGTTGATGTTCCTATCTTTTCTTCGCTGTTGTAAATAATACAACATGGATTTTAGTATACAAGTATCTGTTTGACTCCCTGTTTTTGTTCTTTCGGATGTATACTTAAGAGTGGACTTGGTGGGTTACATGATAACACTTTGTTTACCTTTCTGAGAAGCTATCAAACTCTTCTCCACAGCAGCTGCACCATTTTACATCCCCACCAGCAATTTATGAGGTTTCCAATTGCTCTAGTTATTTTCTATTTTTGTTTTGTTAAGGAGCCCTGGTGGTGCTCGGCTGCTAACTGAAAGGTTGGCGATTCAAACTGACTAGGAGCTCTGGTAGCATAGTGGCTAAGGCACTTGACTGCTAACCAGAAGGCTGGTGGTTCAA